TTGGGACATTTTGAGTATCTGGTTATGCCTTTTGGGTTGTCTAATGCCCCTGCTGTTTTTCAGGCACTAGTGAACGATGTCCTTCGGGACATGTTGAATCGTTTTGTTTTTGTCTATCTGGATGATATCCTGATTTTCTCAGAGTCCTCCCAGGAACATGAACTGCATGTGCGCCAGGTGTTGCAAAGGTTGTTGGAGAACAAGCTATTTGTGAAGATGGAGAAATGTGAATTTCATGTGTCTGAGACCTCTTTTTTGGGTTACATAATAGCTCAGGGGGAGTTGCGGATGGACCCAGCTAAGGTCTCTGCTGTCACGGACTGGCCAGCCCCCTCCACCCGCAAACAACTTCAACGATTCCTGGGGTTTGCGAACTTCTGCAGGAGGTTCATCAAGGACTACAGCCGCATTGCGGCGCCACTTACCGCTCTCACCTCCATATCACTACCGTTCGCTTGGAATGAAGGGACCGAATCAGCGTTCGAAGAACTGAAACATCGCTTCGCCTCGGCTCCCATTCTGATGCAGCCGGACCCCGACCGCCAGTTTGTCGTGGAGGTGGATGCATCCAACACTGGGGTAGGTGCGGTGTTGTCACAACGTTCTCCTGAAGATAACAAACTGCATCCCTGTGCTTTTCTTTCACGGAAACTTTCTCAGGCAGAGAGGAATTATGATGTTGGCAATCGTGAACTGCTCACCGTTAAGCTGGCTCTCGAGGAGTGGCGGCATTGGTTGGAGGGGGCGGAACAACCCTTCATCGTTTGGACGGATCATAAAAATCGGGCATACATCCAGTCAGCGAAGCAGCTCAATCCCCGTCAAGCCAGGTGGGCACTTTTTTGGTAGATTCAATTTTTCTCTGTCTTACCGTCCTGGGTCACGCAACGTCAAGCCTGACGCCCTGTCTCGTGTTCATTCTGCTGTTGATACTGGTAGTAACCCTGAACCCATCTTGCCTCCTACCTGCAGTATTGCGGCCATTACATGTGACATCGAATGGATTGTTAGACAGGCTCAACATCATCAAGCTGACCCTGGGAGCGGTCCTCCTAACCGGTTGTTTGTCCCTGAGTCTGTTCGCTCCCAGGTACTTCAGTGGGCTCACTCGTCTCCCCTTACCTGTCACCCTGGAGTTACTCGGACCCTGGACTTTGTGCGACGGAAGTTCTGGTGGCCCAGGATTGAGGCGGACACTCGAGCCTTCATTGCTGCTTGTACGGTATGTGCACAAAGTAAGAACTCCACCCAGGCCAGCGCTGGTCATCTACGACCTCTGCCAATAGGTCTGCATTTGGGTTCATATCTAGTTAAATCGTGACAGTAACACCCAACATAAAGTGTCTTAATAGGGCGTTGGGCCACAACGAGCCACCAGAACAGCTTCAGTGCGCCTTGGCATAGATTCTACAAGTGTCTGGAACTCTATTGAAGGGATGCAAAGCCATTCTTCCACAAGAAATTCCATCATTTGGTGTTTTGTTGATGGTGCTGGAAAACACTGTCTCTGGCGCCACTCCAGAACCTCCCATAAGTATTCAATTGGGTTGAGATCTGGTGACTGAGACACACACCCTTTAGACCCCCTATACTCCTTTCCCAGCTAGCACATTTGGTACTTTGGAAGTTGTGGGAACAAATGTTTTTGATTTCACATTGGTTGTGGGAACGAAGCCATACGTTTCCTGACCAGTAAAACTGAACGTTTTATAAACGTTCTGAGAACAGAAGTGAAAATGTAACCTGTTCTGGAAACGTTTATTTTTAGGTTGCAGGGAGGTTCTGAGAACGTTTTACTCTGGTTCCTTTAAAGTTTTCCTGGGAGGTTTTATTAACGCTCTGAGAATGTAAATTGTAGGTTATTTTGAGTTTTATTTGTAACTTCCTTAAGTTTTAATAACACTGCTAGCTTATTTTGCGTAAACTTTTTTTTAAACTCAAAGGACACATGGAAATGTATTTCCTTAGCCATGCAAACACATTTCTTTTTTTATTGTCACACGGCATCAGTGAGATTCAAATTTATAATCTTCTGTTCTATATCCATGGAATTAGTCCACTGCGCCACCAGGATGGAGCTAGCATGCAATGTTTTTTTATGCAAACAAATCTGTTCATTTTAGTCTATTCAAACAGACCCCATTTCAAAGGAAACAAGCACTCATTAAGATCCGGTTTGGCCAATTAGTGGACTCAGCCAACACCCCTGAACCCACTTAATAAGATACAGGATAGAGAGTTTTGTTGATGCTGAGAACAGAATGTATATATTTTTAACTAACATTCGAACGTTCTCAGAACGTTACTAAAGTTTTCTTGTGGTTTTTATGCAAAGTTTTCTTAACGTTCTGCGAACAATTTGGGAACATTACATTATAGAACCATGAGGAAACCTGTAGGAAACAATATGCTGAAGTACTGAATTTCTCACAGAAGAAAGTTATTTCTTAACCTAGAGTCGATGTCCGCGCCCCCATGGAAATCGAATGAGCATTCAAAATAAAATCCCCATAAAAATTAATCTGTTTCGGCTAGAGAGATATACGCCGATGTCGGCCTTCTGCATCTGTGGTGGAAGGTAGCAGAGCTAAAGCGGTGTTTGTCAGACCAGGAGACATCCCAAAAAATCTGTATTTTCACAAAAATGTCTGTAGTGTCTTCCCCTCTATGGAAAGATGACTCTCACGATGGTGTTTTCCATTTAGCTCTACGACTCCCACAAGTGTAAGGGCATTTGTCTTAAGTCGGTGCTGCCGATCTGCCAGTAGTGTCTAAACAGTTTGTGCTACACACTAATATGACCACACCATCGAAAGGTGAGACTCTCATGAACACAAACATCTCGGACACGAACATCTCGGTTGTTTTCCTCTAGGATGCCCACAAGTCTCACAAGACTCATCTGAAGATAACCCGGTACCAGTGAAAAAAATTATGAAAGTGTATATAGAAGTACTTTAGTGCTAAAAAAGGGGTTAAACATGGGTAAAAAATATATAAATAATTTCCTGAACTTATCTCTCAGATATAGGATAGACACTTCAAAACATAGTCCAAAAACAAATAAAATGAACTATCTGTTTTGCCATGTATGAATATGTTATTCAATGTGTTTCTATAGACTAATAGGAGTAAGGCCAAATTCAATGTTTCATCAAATAAAATTAGTAGAAACCCAGCCCCGGGCCCTTAGACCTTTTATTAACATTCTTGGAACAATTTTGAGAACATGACTTAAATAGAACCATGAGGAAACTTGTAGGAAATGTTATGCTGAAGTACTGAAATTCCAACAGAATAATTGTTTTTTAATGTTCTCTGAACTATTTGAGAACATTCCCCATGTCAAACCAGTTGGAGAACGTTCCTAGAACATTACCAACATTTAAATTAAATGTAACGATGTTTGAACTTTTAGGAAACATTCAGTTAAAGTAATGAAATACCAAGAAAACAATGTTTTTTTGTCATGTTCCTTAAATGTGCTGAGAATGTTCCAAAGCCAAGCAACTATCCTGCACCATTCCAAGAAAGTTGTGGGAAGTTTGTATGCAAAATAACCATAGGACAAAAATAATCTCCTCAGAACGTTATGTGCTAGCTGGGTTGAGACCCCTCTTTCAAAGTCACAGAGATCTCTTCTTTTAGCCATGGTAGCCAAAATAATGGGCAACTGGGCATTTTTATACATGGGATGTTTTAATTGCTTGATTAACTCAGGAACCACACCTGTGTGGAAGCACCTGCTTTCAATATATTTTGTATCCCACATTTAATCAAATGTTTCCTTTATTTTGGCAGTTACCTGGAAAATAAACCACACAGTGTAAGGTATTACTACTACACTGTCTGCTACATTGTCTTTTGTGAGCATTGGGATCGTGCATCACTTCCTGGAGTTCAAGAGTATCACTTTGTTGGGGGAGGACAAAGAGCCAACTGGGGATGACAAGAGCATGGAGTCACTTTCTTCTTCTCCTGCCTGCGTTTTTAGAGCAACAAGAATGAAGCACTGCATGCAATTATCTGAGAATCTGACCCGGTTTTTAATGAGCGATTCTTCGGTTTATTCATCATCTGAGACATTCTTCAAAGGCAAGCTACGGCTCGTCTTCCCTGGTTTAACAAGCTGAGGAAAAAGGGGTCTCTCATTGGTCTATGCACAGCACTGTATAAACAGCACTGGATACTGTCATGTCCTTCACATGTCATGTCAAATGTACTGTACGTAGGTTTCTATTACTGCCACAAGTAGCACAGTGGCCAGAACTTGCTGGCAGTGAACAGCGTAGCTACAGTGACACAGCCATGAGCTTCCATCTATTCCCTTAGTCTCCAGTTGGGCTCTCTCTCCATTGCGCTCTCTTGCTTTCTCTCTTGCTCTCTCTCTGTCACACACACATGCGCACACACAGACACACACACACACACACGTCTGTACATAGTTTGTCCTAGCTTCTCCTTTATTATTGCCTCACCATCTCTCTCCCTGTCTAATTGCTGTAGGCAGGAATGCCCGCGGGAGCAGCAGGGAGGTTCTGCATTATTCAACACAGACTGCCAACCAAAGGCCTTAAAACTGCGGCTTTTGAGAAATACACAGGCAGACTCACACACTCTTATTAATAATCCAAACCCTTTTCTTCCATAGTGCTGCCTGCCTGGCGATGAGGAGGACGCATGTGACTGTATTATCACATGTTCAAGTGTAGGCATGTGCCCCAAGTAAAGTTGTGTGTGTGTGGGTGTGTGTGTGTAAAAACAATGTGTAAAGATTAATGAGTGTTTTAAATCATTGTCCCACATAATGTTGGATGATTCACATTCCACTTATTGTGAAAACATTTGATCATTTTTACTGTTTGCTGACTACTGTTGCATATGATATGACTGTTAACTAAGATTAAGTATTAGGTGCCAGTTAATGGTTGATAGGAAGGGAAGACCATTTGTGGGTCATTGTGGGCATTATACCCCATAGAAAAATACTAAAAACTCACCACATGAAGAATTTTGTTTTCTGTCTCATACACCGTGCAGTCCTGCAAGACAATTAAAAACAGTTAGAGAACTAATGTTTGTTTTTTTAACATTAAAATAAAACGGAGCTCCTATCAGATGAGACAGATGCGAGTATCCCAAGTGTAGTGTAATGAATTTAGCTGGCAGACTGTCTCTTGAGAGAGTTTAAAACAGGAGAGTTATTTTCAGTCGGCCTTCATCTATTCCCGACAAAACTAACAGAATTATAAAATGGAGGTATGTAGCCAAGTGTTCTGTCAGAGACATATTGATGCACTAGTAACTAGTTCATAAATTCCCTAACCTTTATCCACCCCTGGACAACTCACCTGTTGTACTATGGTGGTTAACTCCAGGCACAGTTGAACAATGTTGTTCTTCAATAAGGAGTACTCTGTCACACTGACAAATGGGGATCTGGCAGGAGGGAAGAAAGTACAATATGCAGGGGTCAGACATCAGAGGATGGGAGAGGGCAGAACAGTCAGTGAGATATAAAAAAGTAACATCTCTGCATAAGCCAGTATTTGCCCTCTCCAACAACTTTACAATGAAAGAGAACCGTATATAAACTATTAGACATACGCAAATGAAGTTCCTCTCGGGAAAATAAGCTATTCTAAGTCTAACAAAACTGGGATGTTCTAACAAAACCGAGATGTAACTCCCACCTGTCCAGCCAGGCCAGCAGGTTCTTGGCTGCTCCGATGAGGTCCACCACGGAGGTGAGGAAGTCGTTGGGCAGCCTGCGTGAGGCCCTGCCATCATAATGGCCGCCTCGACGCCTCCCTGTGATGAAGTTCTGCAGGTTCTTGGCTGAGGCATTGAGCTTGTGGGATAGGGTACGCAGGTTCTCAGTCTCCAGACCATAGTTCTGGAACAGAAAGTACAGCACCGTTAGACCATGGTTCAGTCTGCTCCCAGAAGTGTTTGACTTTAAAGTTAAGATGTCATTCATCTAGAAAATGTGGATACATTAAGTTCACATGGAGAAATAACATTAACTTGCATGGACAGTGTGGTGCGAGTAACATACAGTACTTGTATTTGAAAGCTCATACGGAACAGTGCTGCAGCAAATGTATAGTGTATATAAGATCTAAATGCCAGAGATATATAGAGACAAATCCCTCCAGTCACATAATCTCATATTTTCCTCTTAATCTATCTACCAAACCAGGTGGACAGCTTTATCCTTTTGATCTAGAGTTATTCAAGTAAACATAAAGGGATGATTGCCTCATCAGAAACAATGAAGACCACTCATCTGTCATACTCGTTGAAATGTACAGAGCATCAAGCAGTATTCCACTCTAACCAGAATGTAGGTTGTGTGTCTACGTAGCTTGTCACAATAGTGTGTCTGTTAGAGATGTGTGCCTGTGTGTGAATAGCTGTATCTGATTCTGCAGGTCTAGTCAACATTAGTCACCGTCACCATGGAGAAATGCCTCCTTCCTGTCTAACCCACAACAATGTAGCTAAGCCCAGCCCGGTTGCCATGGTGAATCCGGGCGTTGTCACTCTTAATTACACCAAGCCCAGTGTTTCCATAGCTCCTTCTTCCCTTATTGATTTTCCTCTTTCATTCAAAATATCAAAGTAATGCGCTGCTGTCTGTTCAGGCTGCTCTTTATGGCGGCTTCTCCATCACTAGTCACCTATTACGTCAATGCAGAGGATGACAAGAGACAAAAGGTGGGGGATAATTAAATATGTTATACTGTACATACATGCAAATAAGCTAAGCAACACTATAATAAGGCCTTGTTCTTTGCAGTCGACCCACTGTAGAGGAAACGCACCATTATGCTGCTAGGTGGTGAGTACTGACCAGCTCAGCCATTTCCCTGCTACCTTCCTTCCAGTGAGCCATTCAGGCAGAGAGAGGCTTCACTGCATGGAGGGGACACTTTCCTCTGATGGCTGTAATGTCTTTTGCAATTTAGCGGGAGCAAAATCCCTATTACATCAACAACTCAGCAGCAGAGCCCTGTCTGTCTGTCTGGTCACTGTCGACTGATGAACAATTATCTAACTCCCAGCAACAACCGACCCTCAGTTTGATGTCAAAGTGAGTCAGCGGTCACACTGACACCAAGCCTGCATTGTCTTTCAATCACACTCACATAATCAACCCAGGAAAGATAAATTAATTTCTAAAATTGATCTGCAGAGAGTCTTGTCTTACACAAGCAGTGCAGAGGGACTGAGACCTATTCAGCAGACATCCATTTTGGTCGGGCCACTAATAAGGCAGTGTGTGTGCGTGCATGCTTGTGTGTGTGTGACCACGTTCATGTCCTGTCTCTCCTGTCCTGTCCACCTGTAGCTCTCCTCCAGTACAGTCATTACTCATGTCAGCCTCCTCTCAGCAGAGTGACGCAATGTTCAGCTCTAGTGCACTCTGCCAGGATCAATGGGGACATGTCCCAGCATCCAATGATAATCACAGCACATCACTATAATGGAGATTGGATGCAGAACACACACTATACTGTCTTAGCACATACACACACATTCACAAACTTATATTATAGCCCCATATGTGAACACAAAGGAGGAACATTCTGCTCAACATTCACACACACACACCCAGGCAGCTCCCACCGGTCCGTCTAACTAACAGACACAGATTACATGTGTGTGGTTGTCTGTGTGGAGATGGGGTCTCAGGCAGTCCAGGCACTCTAATGATGCTCTGCTGCAGGCCGCTCTGTCACAGGGAATCACACACTAACTTCAGCTAGCTCCCACACGCCTCACACACAGGCAGCCTCACACACACGCAGGCACGCACACACACACACTCCCTCCCAGCTGCTGCTGTCTAGGCCTATGGATCTATTATCAGACACTTCCCCAGCCCATCATAGAGGACGTGTGCTGTGTGGCCCCTCTCTGAATCAGTCAAGTCAATACAGAGCTCTTAGCTTGCTCTAACAGGGCTCTTCCCATGCCCACGCCTGACTCTCTCTGTATGAGTCATCATACACCAAGACTAACGACACCCATTACATGCCTCCCTTACTGATGCACAGAGCACAGACTCCTCCCGCTCGACCTCTATCTAGGATACAAGGATACATCACCAATGAATCTGAATTAGCCACAAATCATCGCCGCGACTCTGGCCCTAGCCTCAGCTCTACTTATCTAGCCCTGGTCACTGAGCACTGCAGCTGCCTCTCTCCCCTTCTGCTTGTTACTCAGCAGATAACACTGATGAAGGCTGTAGATAATAAAGCAACACTTTTTACTGACCTTCTATTGTCTTCAATCTTGTCTGTCATGCCTTGCCATGCCTCTCAAACGGTGCACAAACAGATCTAGCAACTAGGCTAGCTTTACATCTCCTGCAAGTCAACTGTGTTTCTCCAGTTCGAGCACGTTGACTGCACTGGCTTGGTTGCACTGGAAGGCATCAATAGTAAAGTTATTCTATCATGTCCGCACACCAGAGCTCTAACTCTACAGCCCTATCTCCTAACCATCCCTCCTGATTCTAGCCCTGCATGTCTAGATTGACTCCTCACCAGGGCACAGAGTAGGTCCACAGCCTCCAGAATGAGCTCCTGGTGTCCGATGCGGGTGACCCCCAGCTCCTCCAGCTCCTGGTGGGTGATGTGGAGCAGCTGCTCCCCGTTGATCTTCTCCCTCTCAAAGTTCTTAATGTACTGCTGCAGACAGTCATCCAGGCCTGCATGGGGGACAGACAAAGAGGGGGGAAACTATGTTAAGCACACCTTTGTTCTTATAGTATGTCTTTGTCTCCTTTACTGTCCACATCTAACTCATTCACTAGGTGTATGGAATGCAGATTGTGCTGGTTTATTTAGAATTATTACAGTTTGAAATATACCATGAAAGCATAAATATGTGTTGTATAAAGTGCAGTGTGATTGGCAGATTCAGACTAATTGCTGTACAAAATATTGTTTATCCCTACCAGGCTACTTTCACTCTAAAAACTCATTTTCCATTTCATTCATTTTTTTGTGTTAATTCCTACATAATACCAGAAGCATGCTTTCAACCATTCACCTTTCAAGTCCTGAGTGTGCTCTTACTCTCTGAGCAGAGAGAGAAGAGACTTTCTTTCAACTCCAGAGAACTGAGCAGAACCAGTCTACCAGTTGAGCTGCTCTTTGTGTAGAGCAGAACAGAACAGGGGCAGAGAGAAACAGGACTAGTCTAGGAGATAAACCACTCTCACCACAGCGTATTAAAGCCATCCTTATCAGAGCACAGCAGAGCCACACAGAGTCCTCTGCAGCATTCTGTGTTGGAGCCATGTACAGCGGGCCAGGCGGCACAGAGAGAGAGAGGGGAGCCCAGATAGCAGCAGAGCAGACTAGCAGAGTCTCGGCTTTCAACCACAGCATCCATCCATGGCTCCCGGGAGATTACTCATCTCCAGCCACAGAGCACAGCGGAGTAGCAGGCCACAGCCACAGCACAGAGCTGACCCATATTACACACACCGGCTGGGCCACGTCAACACACCAAAGCACACACACATCCATGACCACAGGCATTCAACAGGGGCCAAATTAGCCAGCTTGATACTGCCTAGGTAGATCAAAAGAGGATACATTCAGAGCCATATATATAGATGACTCTGGGTACATCTATTCAATATTGATCTCAATCTATATAGTCTATAGTCAGGTGAATCATCTGAACTAAGTTCCCCATTTGTATGTGGTGAACACTTGTCTTGCCGTCTTGTGTGCTGCTGCCCTGTCACGGTTTCGGCCGAGGCTGCCTCTCTTCCTTGTTCGGGCAGGCTTCGGCGTTCGTTGTCTCCGGAATTCTAGCTGCCATCGTTGCATGTTTCTATGTTCGTTTGCTTTTGTCTGTTTGTTGTGACACCTGTTATCGTTTAGGTTAATTAGCGTCCTATAAGTTACTCGTTGTGTTTGTCCAGTGTTGTGTGTGATTGCTTTATTGTCTGTCGTGCGTTACTGGACGTGGTTACATTATTTGCTCGGTTGAGCTATCTCTCCACTGTGTTGGAGCGTTTTACGCACCTGTGTAGTGCGCCCGTTTGTTTTGTCCGCCTACGTGCGGAGTTTCGCCTTCGGGCCAGTTTGTTCATTTTCCCGTGTGGAATTTCACTAAAGTCTTTTGGACTGTACTTCGGTGTCCTGCGCTTGATTCCACCACTACACCCACCTACAGCATCACTGACATGCCCCGACCTCATTCTAAGTAACTGAATGGAGCACACAGTGGCCTTGACATAAAAATGGATGGCTTTGTGTGTGGGTGTGTTTGTGTCTCCACAGTATGTCCGTGGGAGTGAAATTTGTGAAAGCATGTGTGCGTGTGCGTGTGTGTGTGGGGGTGTGGGAGGGGGTTGTGTATGCATGTGCATTTGTGTGTGTGTGTGTGTGCGCACACGTTCATGCATCCATATACAGTAATGATCATGAATGGCTGCCCTTACAAAAAAAAAACATGTCCAATTTGCAGTTTCATGAGGAATAGCTGTTTTCAGATGTTGAGCTTAAATTTCACATGAAATCATATTTTCACATGTATTCAATTTAAAGGTCACATGTTAACACCACCTCTTCACACGTTTTCAACTCACATGTGCATTTACATTGCAGTTGCACATGTGAAATTTGCTGTTTCACATGTTAGAAAACTCCACATGTGAAAATCTCACTTTCACATATGGAATTGCAAGTTCACATGTGAAAACCATTCACATGTGAAAATCTAATTTGCAGTTTCACATGTAAGAAACATTCACATTAGAAAATCTAACTTTAACATTTAGAATTGCAAGTTAACATGTGTTGGTGAAAAAGTGTTTTTCTCCACTCGTGAAAAGGTGGTGTTTTCACATATGGACTTCTGTAATGCCATTCTGTAAAAAGGCAACCTAGCCTACCTGAGTATAATAATTGCGTTAAAAACATTTTAAAAATTATTTCTGTGCCATTCATTTGGAGTGTTACTGTTGCAGGTGCACGCCACTCTTCTTCATACCTTGGTTAGTGACCGTTGGAAGAAGCCCAGTGAAAAGAACAGAGAAGCTAGCGCTACGTGTCTCCTTATTTATCCTGTTTAACCCTTTACACTTGTGGGAATTGGCCTATATGGATAGGGCTAAATTGAAATGTTTCTTACAAAAGAAATCTGAAAAACATTTGCATAAGCATGGTAGCAATAGAGGAGGTGCATAAAGATGGCGCCCCCCATGCATTTTCCACAAATTTCTTATTTTGCTAAGTTCGCCGTATTGTACATTGCTCTCCTTTACTGTTTTTTTGTATGGTAATTAGCACAGTATACATGATCCCAATCTTAGCTTCAAGATGCCGGCAATTTGAAAAACTGAAAAAGTAGACTTTGCTGATATATTGGCACATTGAACCATTTCGCGCAGCGTGCTTAAAGAAACGAGTGCTAAAATAGTGACGTCATATCTGAATTCTGCCATCTATATTTACATTTGCATTTGAAAGGGAACAGTTTGGAGATTATGGGAAAACTATTAGGCCAAAGTTGTGGACACAACAGTTCACCTGACACAAGACTGAACATTACACTGTTGATTATATTATCCAATACATTCACTGTACTTTTCACCGCATTTGTTGATAACGAAATCTGAAAATACTCTGGATACATTCAGTAACATCATAAGAATATTCCTGGAAAATGTGGGGTAGGTGACACATAAGACAAAAAATGACAAGGGTTTGAGTGAGAGGACTAACTGGTGTCGCAGGTGGCCACACACCTTTCCAAAGTGTGCACAGCAATCTAGGGTTTATACACATCATTGGTCAAAATCCATACAGTGGTGTGAAGCGCAGAGCCTGAACTGCGTTTATCAGTGCTCAAATCTGCCATTTTCAACCTGTATATGGGTACGAGTGTAAAGGGCTACCATGTTAAAATTAGCGCTATCTTGTCAGTTAACTCAAGTTCACTTTTTGTAATTTTTGTGCACTTTTGTATTGCATTGTCTGAAAGCGTTAAAAATACACTGAAAACATCCAAAATGCATAATCTATACAGCTGAAAACAACAATGCAATGTCAAAACAAATTGACTTTGAGGTTAAAGAAAGTGTGTTTATCAATTTAGTTGGACGAGATGGGTCCCATTATGCCTGGCGAAAACCAAACACTGCATTCCACAGTAAGAACATCATACCAAAGGTCAAGCATGGTGGTGGTGGTGTGATGGTTTGGGGATGCTTTGCTGCCTCAGGAACTGGACGATTTGCCTTAATAGAAGGAACCATGAATTCTGCTCTGTATCAGAGAATTCTACAGGAGAATGTCAGACCATCCGTCTGTGAGCTGAAGCTGAAGCGCAGCTGGGTCATGCAGCAAGACAATGATCCAAAACACACAATCAAGTCTACATGGAAATTGCTAAAAAGCAACAAATTGGAAGTTTTGGAATGGCCTAGTCAAAGTCCAGACCTAATCCCAATTGAGATGTTGTGGCAGGACTTGAAACGAGCAGTTCATGCTTGAAAACCCACACGTCACTGAGTTAAAGCAGTTCTGCATGGAAGAGTGGGCCAAAATTCCTCCACAGCGACGTGAGAGACTGATCAACAACTACAGGAAGCATTTGGTTGGAGTCATTGCAGCTAAAGGTAGCACAACCAGTTATTGAGTGTAAGGGGGCAATTACTTTTTCACACAGGGGAATTGGGTGTTGCATAACTTTGTTCATGAAATAAATATGTAATTGTTGTGTTATTTGTTCACTTATGTTCCCTTTATCTAATATTAGGTTTTGGTTGAAGATCTGATAACATTCAGTATCACAAATATGCAAAAGTAGAGAAAATTTGAAAGGGGGCAAATACTTTTTCATAGCACTGTAGACATTTTTGCTAATTTATTAAAAATTAAAAACAGAAATACCTTATTTATATAAGTATACGGACCCTTTGCTATGAGACTGGAAATTGAGCTCAGGTGCATCCTGTTTCCATTGATCAACCTTGAGATGTTTCTACAACTTGATTGGAGTCCACCTATGGTACATTCAATTGATTGGACATGATTTGGAAGGGCACACACCTGTCTATATAAGGTCCCACAGTTGACAGCGCATGTCAGAGCAAAAACCAAGCCATGAGGTCGAAGGAATTGTCCGCAGAGCTCCGAGACAGGATTGTGTCGAGGCACAGATCTGGGGAAGGGTACCAAAAACATTCTGCAGCATTGAAGGTCCCCAAGAACACAGTGGCCTCCATCATTCTTAAATGGAAAAAGTTTGGAACCACCAAGACTCTTCCTAGAGCTGGCCGCCCGGCCAAACTGAGCAACCGGTTGAGAAGGGCCTTGGTCAGGGAGGTGACCAAGAACTCAATGGTCACTCTGACAGAGCTCCAGAGTTCCTCTGTGGAGATGGGAGAACTTTCCAGAAGGACAACCATCTCTGCAGCACTCCAACAATCAGGCCTTTATGGTATTGTCTCCTGAGTGGCGCAGTGGTCTAAGGCACTGCATCGCAGTGCTAACTGTGCCACTAGAGATCCTGGTTCGAATCCAGGCTCTGTCGCAGCCGGCCACGACCGGGAGACTCATGGGCGGCGCACAATTGGTCCAGGGTAGGGGAGGGAATGGCCGGCAGGGATGTAGCTCAGTTGATAGAGCATGGCGTTTGCAACGCCAGGGTTGTGGGTTCGATTCCCACGGGGGGCCAGTATAAATAAATAAAAATGTATTCACTAACTGTAAGTCGCTCTGGATAAGAGCGTCTGCTAAATGACTAAAATGTAGAGTGGCCAGATGGAAGCCATTTCTCAGTAAAAGGCACATGACAGCCTGCTTGGAGTTTGCCAAAAGGCACCTAAAGGGCTCTCAGACCATGAGAAACAAGATTCTCTGGTCTGATGAAACCAAGATTGATCTCTTTGGACTGAATGCAAAGCATCACGGCTGGGGGAAACCTGGCACCATCCCTAAGGTGAAGCATGGATGTTTTTAACGGTAGGGACTGGGAGACCAGTCAGGATTGAGGAAAAGATGAACAGATTAAAGTACAGAGGGATCCTTGATGAAAACCTGCTCCAGAGCGCTCAGGACCTCAGACTGGGGTGAAGGTTCACATTCCAACAGGACAACGACCCTAAGCACACAACCAAGACAACGCAGGAGTGGCTTCGGGACAAGTCTCTGAATGTCCTTGAGTGGCCAAGCCAGAGTCTGGAATTGAACCCGATCGAACATCTCTGGAGAGACCTGAAAATAGCTGTGCAGCGACACTCCGCATCCAACCTGACAGAAACTCCCCAAATACAGGTGTGACAAGCTTGTAGCATCATACCCAAGAACACTCAAGGCTGTAATCGCTGCCAAAGGTGCTTCAACAAAGTACTGAGTAAAGGGTCTGAATACTTATGTAAATGTGATTTCAGTTTATTTTTTATTTTTTTATGCTTTGTCATTGAGGTATTGTATGTAGATTGATGAGGGGGAAAAAACAATTTCATCAATTTTAGAATAAGGCTGTAACATAACAAAATGTGGAAAAAGGGGTCTGAATTCTTTTCGAAAACACAGTATGTGAAACATCACACGTAGGCTCTGTTTTTCCCACGTGACATTTTTCACGTAATTTGTTCACGTATAAATTTAATGTGAAACGTTGTTTTCGAAAACCACGTAACTGACTTGGGAAAATCTCGTTTCTTTTTTTCTTCACATGTGATTTGTTTTTCATGCTTTTCTTGTAAGGGTACTTTCATTTGAGAGCTTGCCGCTTGTGGGATTTCCATTCTGTTGCCTTCCTCCAGCTATCAAGGCTCCATGGCAACAGTTTCCTGGTGACCAAGAAGCAAGCCCACTTGAAGAAGTGAATTATTAGCAGTATATTTCTTAATTGTTGCCCTCAGACCTATCACAGAATGAAATACAACAGGTGTATAATATTCATTCTAAATGTCATTTACATTTTACCCAAGGGAATAATCCAGAGTCCTCAATGCCCTCAAAAACAGGTCAGTCCCTCCCTCTTACTCTCATTGGCATTGAACCTACTCTCACTCACAGATAATTGTGGTTATGAAATAGATGAGGTACAGTTCAATTAGTTTGCTAACTGCCCTACCTCGATCCACAATGTTGGAACATAGTATGAATGTAAGGCACGCATCACCAAGGCAGGTTCGCTGTCCATGGTGATAGCTTTTCATGAATGCCTCAACTGGTGCATTGGTGTGTGTGTGTGCGTGCCATGCTGTGCCTACTTGGGTGTGTACACGACTGTGTCCACTGGCCACCTTTCAAAAACCACTCAAGAACAAGAGAGCCAAAGCAACCAATAACACACAGTTTACAGTGTGGAGAGGGAGGGGATATTCTTTACAGCTGTGGCAGCACAAAGACATTTCTCAACTTGCATATCAGCATCCTCTGTGTCTCAGATTGCACATCAGCACCCATTCTGTCTCAAATGACCATAGGATAGATATTAGACCGGCTCTGTCCTTTATGTCAGTTGTATTCTACCAGTCTTATAGACTGTCAAGATGTTGCTATGTATTGGCTTCATCTGTTGGCCTACAGCATTGAATATAACAGATGACAAAGATGTCACTTGCCTATGCACTTTCCATGGTAATTGGGGGGTGGAGAATCTGAGACTGAACTGAAGTTCCTTTAGTTGTGTTGTGTATCAGCTGCACAGAAGTTGTGCCGTAGGCGAGCCCTGCCCTTGCTGCGAAGCTGGAAACACATCTGTGACAGCAGCGCCAGAAGCAAGCACGGTTGTGCACTTCTGGACTGACACTTGGCTGGCAGAAATTACTGTATGTGGGAAAACATAACCCATGTCTCTGTTGACACATCACAGCTTCTTTAGTTGGATGACAGTAAATCCCTGTGCCCTGGTGAGATAGAAAGTTATCATATCTATCTCACTTGTGTTTGGTTGTTACAGTAACTAATAGGTCTTTCTTTTGAACGTTATTCCACCGTTTAGATTTAAACGCATTCAGCTCCTCATGCTCACCTTTCTTTCCAATGAAGGCTTGTTGTCAATTAGTGTTTCACCTCCAGAATGACAGAAGTCTGCCACTACTAACATAACGGTGTGCACAATCTGATTATGGCAGGTAATGTAGCGCAACAATTGTTTTGTCATCCATTTGGTCTTACCTAAGGGGTACTTCACCTCAGCTGTACTGTTGGCCCACACAATAATAAAAGTAACTACAGGTAGGTATGTTTTCTCTCATAGAAATATGAATGTTATGGCAGATAGTGGAGAACTCTTCGAAACATACTGAACATCATAACACCAACCATTTTGAGTTCAGTTAATAGCATATCTTAAAGGTGACTATTGTGGTTGCAAATGCTGCTGTCCAGTTCAATTAGCTTGCAACCTGCAATATGTTCCCTATCACTACCCACAATGGTGGATTTTTGTAGCAATGTAACAAAGTAAATCATAGTCTCTGTCAACACATTTTCAAATAAGGTAGGTTCGCTGTCCATGGTGCTAGTTTTGCAAACGCCTCAATTGATACCAACACTTATTCAATCAAAGTGTGTGTGTGTGTGTGTGTGTGTGTGTGTGTGTGTGTGTGTGTGTGTGTGTGTGTGCGTGTGTGTGCATTGGAGCTAAAGAGAGAGAGGGGGGGGGGGGGGGGGGGGGCGAGAGAGAGAGAGAGCACGCAGTCTTTATGGTGTGAGGTAATCTAAATGTGAACCTTATATAGGTAAACTGATTGTTGAACACATTTACACGTCGCATAATAAGTTGGTCTGAGTATCTGGTTGGTGTTCTACAAATACATAGCCTACATCAGGCCAGGGCGATAATTAGGCTACACTGAAATCGCGCTTCCACATCAGGGTCGGATACACAAAATGGCACACGATCAATATTTCAATGCAAAGAATAGCAGCGTTTTAGCTCAAATCAGCCCCAATTTATTAAACCACCTATTCAGATAAAAGAGAAAAGATGTACACATATCCATGTTAGTTGTTTCAAAATGTATTCTGTCAGTGTCAAGCAAATGAAAAGAAACATGTTTTATAATCATTACCTTTCATCCAATCCAGCACTTGCTTAGGTGTCCATTTGCTTATAGGTTCCATCACCAGGGCCATCATCGATGTCTTCAAATCCTTCAAACAAGGACTTGGTCGAGCGTGAAAATCGGGTGTTGCAAATCAGAAATGTTGCATCTGTATACCAGAGATCAAATAACATAGGTGCACCTTACTGGGTAAAGGCATGGCTGGTGACAGTATCCTGGGTACGGAATGCGATGGTGCAGTCCACGCGCTCACAGAAACGACTCAGCCGCCTCTCTCTCTCTGTCTCTCGCTCTCGCTCTCTCACACACACACAACAGTAGCCTACCTGCAGACCCCACTGTACTGTGTAGAGAAGCGAGTCTCTCTCTGAGTGAGAAAGTCTTGCAACCCCTCCCTCCCCTGCACACCCCAGCATCACATGCTTCCTTCCAGAGACACGGGGAATGGTGCAATAATACATAATTACCTGATGCCTTCATAGAGAAACATTGGCAGCTGAACATAAGGCATAACAATTAAGCATATTCTTATAATTTTTTCCTTTTTTATCAGGAATATGTTCACCCCCTTAACTGTCGTAATTTCCAACCAATATGAGTAGGAACAGAACCGAATCAATTGTGTTTTAACCAATAGAAACCTAGTGATGCTTGCATCAATGCCTGTATGGGGGGGCTATACAGTATGGGGGGATACCATATTAAAACTGGGTCACCTTGCAATTTACATTAAAGTAATGACTCAAACAAGACATGCAAGACACAATTGAATGACAAAGTCGTTTTTTTTCTCAGTTAGATACAAAATATCTCAGTTACTGTAAAACTACATCATGACAAATGCTGGGGTGTGTGCTTATCACTTCTTTCTGATGTCCCCATGTTTTATTATATGGGAAATACACATTTTGTAGATACTTATCGACCTATAGCCAAAATAACTACTGCAACTACAATCAACTATATATGGTGTGTGCACACTGCATGAGTCTGTTGCATAACACAACACAACAGTACAGGTCGTCTAACTTCATCCCACTGAGTCCCACCATGATATGGTTAATAATTCAGTCCTCACTGCTGGGTGATGATGACACATCTTTACCTGCTAAGCCTATTACTGACTCTTTGAAGATCTGCCCGTGTCTTGTATCTTTATTGAAGTCTCCCCATATGTCTCACTATATGGTGTAAAATGGCATCAAACTTCATCAACCTGAACATTTGGTTCTGGTAAATTATCAGAGGCATGAGCACCACTCTCCCTAACCATTACCCTCTCCTATGCTGCTCTAACAGTGCCATGCTAATAGTTCTTGGCTTGGCTGGTGTATGACCCAGTGGCTCCCGACAGGGTGTGAAATGGTGGCATTGGCACTCGCTCCCCACACACACCGGTTTACTGTAAATCCTCTACCAAGCAGCATGCCACTATGATCACTAGCAATGCCCAGTTGGTCCATCATAGCCTACCCATATACTAAACATGCGCTTAAAGTCACTTGATACTGGTTTTCACATTAGATGCACCCATCTGAAAGAAAAATTCATGCATTATCTAGCACATGCTATCACATAGTCACACTCACGTAAACCCTGCCAGCCATACATCCCTGCCTTTGATGCCTAAGAGGGTGATTTCTGAAATTAAGCTACCCACATGAGTCATGACATTCACTTGATATGAATGACAGTGATCCAGATGGAAAGGCCTGCTCAGAGGTAAAATAACAATCTGTCATGGCTAAACCAGAAAGTGTCTGATATACACCTTATGTTTAGTATACGTTTATACACTGAGTGTACAAAACATTAAGAACACCTGCTCTTTCCATGACATAGACTGACTCAACAGTAGGAAGGTATTCTTAATGTTTTACCCATTCCAATGGCCAGTTTATTCTCCACAAGACATGACCGCAATAGCTCAGTGCTTTAGCATATTCATGTTTTCTATTCAGTCAGTTGCATCTAAGATTAAAAAGCATTTCAAATTTGGCACAGCTTGATATGTTGATCTGACACAGATGTTGTGTAATATGCTTTCTTGTCAAAATGCAATGTGACACTTGCAGTAAACATGCAATGTTTATGTATGACAGGAGGTGTCAATATTTTCCAACTTTTTTTGACAACCAAGATAGCGAAATAGCATTTTTTACTGTTTTGTAATAGTCTGTGGTTATGAAAATATAATTTCAGATCTGCGATATCTGTGAGGAATCATTTCTCAGAAACTAGAACCAATATGTTTTACAAGGACTAAGTTATCCCTCACCTTACAGTTTTTCTCCTCTTTGTCCTTCAACTTGAAAGCTTGACATTGTCTCAAGTATTACATTACAGGAACTGGTTGCATTTATGAAGTAGATATTATGGACATTGTGGCATTTTCTAAAGATATTTCTTCTAACAATTCAACAAAATGAAGGGATCTCCTTCCCAAACTATCAATTTAATTTACCTCTTGAACCGAATGCAATGTAACTGACCACCAAGTTTACAGATTCAGTATAGAGAAAACGAAACCAAATCTGTAGACCATTCTCAAGTGTGTTAGAGTCGGCAGACAAAGTGGAACTACTGCTGGTTTCAGTCAGGTGGCCTTTCTTCTGGGCTCAGCGTTGGAGATGCGCAGGTTGGGGGAGCTGAAGTGGGAGCTAGCCACGGTGCAGGTGCTAAGGTAGTGGATGACGATGCTCTGGGCCGTACTGGAGTCCAGGCCATGGTCCTGACAGAGATGCAGGCTGAGCTGCATTACTGGGGCTGGTAAGCGGCCCTGGGGAGGGGTCTGGGCCAGGGGAGAGCTGCCCCGGGCCAGGCTGTCCTGCATGTGCTGTCTGTACACCTCCAGCAGCTTACTCTCCAGATAGCCATTCAGCATGGAATTGGACAGAGGCTCCCTGTTCAGGGTGATGATGCTGCTGTCCATGACCAGGTAACCCTCATCCTGCAGGGGCTGGGACTCCACCTGTACCCCAGGCTCCACAGGCCCTGTGGGTTCCAAGGCCTCCATCTCTCCCAGGTCCTGCGACTGAAGAAGTGGTCCTTCGAACACCTCCTTCTCCAGCCGCGGGCTCTCTGAGCTCCTGTTTCCCACATGGTCCCCTCTGAGCTGCAGGTCGGGGTAGTCTTTGCAGAAGGTGGTGCAGCACCAGGAGCGATAGAGCTCCAGGTCACCATAGTCGTCACTGTGGCTATTGGGGATGGTGAGGGCATCACTGAGCCTGGTTGTCACTCTAGGACCAGACTGCACCAGACCTTCCATGTTTCCTGTGCAGTCCACACACAAGCACATTTAAAAATGTGGCAATAAAAAAAGAAAACAATTATTAAACATCATACTCATGCCTGGATGAACTTAATCTCATATTAACGTTTTAAGGTGTAGCATAGCCTACTGATCCAGAAAGACATGCAGCATTTCAGACAAATCCAAAATGCTTACCTGACATTGAACCTGGGGTCAGAATGTTATTGGGGGCAGGATGTGGTGGACGTTCCTGAGCCTTTGTGGAATGGGGGTCACAATCCTCTTCCCTGTACCTGAAGACTCTGATGAAGGCTTCTCCCAACATGACAACCACTACATAACAGTGCATATTGTCTCAATACAACATAGCAGCAAACCACACCAACTAGCACTTTCAATTGTGATTCTCCATAGATCTGGTTCCAGGAAACCACCCCCCATCAGGCTCGAAAGATAAATAAATACTTAGATTCTCTTGCCAGGTCACATAAAACATAAAATAGTATAAAACACATGACAGATACTGACAATATCCCTACCTGTTTTTACAATAGATGGTGTTCCTTTAGTCTGTCCACTAATACAAGGTTTACAAGTTAGCTACAGATTTCTCTAACTGGTGAGCATCCACGGTAGTGTGCTATCCCTAATTGTACTGAGCTTCTGAGTAGCTAATGTTAAAAAGAGGAAGCATTGTAAGAACTAAAATTAGAACACTCACTGCCCCTGCTTTTCAGCTTCTGCCTTCCGTGGTGTGATATTCGATTTAGAATGTAAGGAGAAGTGAAACAATTGTGACAACAGTATACTTTGCAATGTTCATTTGAGATTAACAAGAGTAACAAGGAAACTGTGTAAGAATAAGATAGACTGAGTAGTAAAGTAACACTATTTTATTATCAAACATGAAAAATATCTCATTGAATTAAATTTTCTCATACAGTGGGGAAAAAAAGTATTTAGTCAGCCACCAATTGTGCAAGTTCTCCCACTTAAAAAGATGAGAGAGGCCTGTAATTTTCATCATAGGTACACGTCAACTATGACAGACAAAATGAGAAAAAGAAATCCAGAAAATCACATTGTAGGATTTTTTATGAATTTATTTGCAAATTATGGTGGAAAATAAGTATTTGGTCAATAACAAAAGTTTCTCAATACTTTGTTATATACCCTTTGTTGGCAATGACACAGGTCAAACGTTTTCTGTAAGTCTTCACAAGGTTTTCACACACTGTTGCTGGTATTTTGGCCCATTCCTCCATGCAGATCTCCTCTAGAGCAGTGATGTTTTGGGGCTGTCGCTGGGCAACACGGACTTTCAACTCCCTCCAAAGATTTTCTATGGGGTTGAGATCTGGAGACTGGCTAGGCCACTCCAGGATCTTGAAATGCTTCTTACGAAGCCACTCCTTCGTTGCCCGGGCGGTGTGTTTGGGATCATTGTCATGCTGAAAGACCCAGCCACGTTTCATCTTCAATGCCCTTGCTGATGGAAGGAGGTTTTCACTCAAAATCTCACGATACATGGCCCCATTCATTCTTTCCTTTACACGGATCAGTCGTCCAGGTCCCTTTGCAGAAAAACAGCCCCAAAGCATGATGTTTCCACCCCCATGCTTCACAGTAGGTATGGTGTTCTTTGGATGCAACTCAGCATTCTTTGTCCTCCAAACACGACGAGTTGAGTTTTTACCAAAAAGTTATATTTTGGTTTCATCTGACCATATGACATTCTCCCAATCCTCTTCTGGATCATCCAAATTCACTCTAGCAACCTTCAGACGGGCCTGGACATGTACTGGCTTAAGCAGGGGGACACGTCTGGCACTGCAGGATTTGAGTCCCTGGCGGCGTAGTGTGTTACTGATGGTAGGCTTTGTTACTTTGGTCCCAGCTCTCTGCAGGTCATTCAGTAGGTCCCGCCGAGTGGTTCTGGGATTTTTGCTCACCGTTCTTGTGATCATTTTGACCCCACGGGGTGAGATCTTGCGTGGAGCCCCAGATCGAGGGAGATTATCAGTGGTCTTGTATGTCTTCCATTTCCTAATAATTGCTTCCACAGTTGATTTCTTCAAACCAAGCTGCTTACCTATTGCAGTTTCAGTCTTCCCAGCCTGGTGCAGGTCTACAATTTTGTTTCTGGTGTCCTTTGACAGCTCTTTGGTCTTGGCCATAGTGGAGTTTGGAGTGTGACTGTTTGAGGTTGTGGACAGGTGTATTTTATACTGATAACAAGTTCAAACAGGTGCCATTAATACAGGTAACGAGTGGAGGACAGAGGAGCCTCTTAAAGAAGAAGTTACAGGTCTGTGAGAGCCAGAAATCTTGCTTGTTTGTAGGTGACCAAATACTTATTTTCCACCATAATTTGCAAATAAATTCATAAAAAATCCTACAATGTGATTTTCTGGAAATTTTTTTTTCTCAATTTGTCTGTCATAGTTGACTTGTACCTATGATGAAAATTACAGGCCTCTCACATCTTTTTAAGTGGGAGAACTTGCACAATTGGTGGCTGACTAAATACTTTTTTTCCCCACTGTATGTGCAAAGCATGTCTTTATCATCTACTAAATGCCTAGTATTTGGGTACTCATTCCGCCTTGATATCAATATAATATTGAACACTGGATACTGCCCAGCATTGGCTTGAACTATTGTAACAGTACAAGGTCACCACTTTAAAGACATTGTCAAAAAACACAACATTTGGTCAATTCGATCCCAGTCTGATTACCTTTCACAACAAAATAAAGCTCTATGATTGCTCTGAGAAGACGTTTTCCAGACGAGCAGTGGCAAGCTGCTGTAGAGCTGACGGGAGGATGCCAGGAGAGGGCACTGTGGTCCGCTAATCAAAACCATACGGCTACTGTTGCTCCAGTGTGGCCAAGGCCTCTGCTTCCTGTGGGTGGTATGAAAGCAGTGCTAAGAAAATGATACAACACCAGGCTTGAGACCATTTGTAATTATGCTTCCACCAAAAGGTGTATGTAATTTTACCAGAACATTTGTGTGTAAGTATTGTAATGATATAGTACAGTAGCCAAAAGAACAGTCTGGACCTGCAGGTCATCCTTCATTGCCTCTATGTTGGGCAACAGAGCTGTGAAATACATGGTAGTAGCGGAAACAAGCAATCATTAAAAATAGATGGACTGGTCACTTGCACCTGAGTATGTTCCTCTGTGTGTGGTTGTGACAGATTGAGCATGTCCATAAGATCATGGTCTTTACCTTGGAGCCTGGAGGGGCTGTTAGGCCCAAGAATGCATACACTGCATGCTCCTCACGGGCATCAAAGAAGGCCTCATAGTTCTGCAACGACAACACAAAGGCAGCTGTCTCACTAAGTATGTTTCATAAGGTTATTACAACAGAGATCATGCTCATGGGCCCCAACTCCCTCATCAAGAAACTGGGTCAACTCAACACGACAATAGATGGCTACAAAAGCCACTCCAACTCCACTGTTAGGAACCTTGTTACATTTGACCCCACTCTTTCATTTGAACCCCACATCTGGAACATCACCAAGTCAGCCTTCTTCCACCTCAAAACATCTCACTACTCAGATCTTCTCTCACTGACCCCACTGCTGAAACCCTCATTCACACCTTTGTTTTATCACGCCTGGCCTACTGCAACGCCATTCTCTAAGGACTCCCCGCCAAAACACTGGACAGACTGCATGAGTCCTCACACACACAAAACCTCGGGACCACATCCCCCCCACCCTCATCAAACTCCACTGGCTCCCAGTTCAATATAGGATCATCTTCAAATTGCTCATGCTCACCTACAAAGCACTTAATGGACTGGCGCCCACATACCTTACTGGCCTCCTGCACCCCTACACTCCCACCTGTTCACTGCACTCCTCTGACACCGGCCTCCTCACCATCCCTGCAACCAGGCTCCGCTCCATGGGAGACCGGGCTTTTAGAAGTACAGCTCCCCAACTCTGGAACTCCCTCCCTCTCCATGTCAGAACCTCACAATCCATACACATATTCTAGTCCACAGTAAAGACACACCTCTTCACACAGGCTTACCCAGATTCTCTGTTGTCTTAGCTTTTATCCTCTGTCTAGTTCACTTCCCTGGTTAGTCTGTCCTTTTGTTTAGTATACCTTTATGCACTGAGTGTACAAAACATTAAGAGCACCTACTCTTTCCATGACATAGACTGACCAGGTGAATCCAGGTGAAAGCTTTGATCCCTTATTGATGTCACTTGTTAAATCCACTTTAATCAGTGTAGATGAAGCCTTGAGACAATTGAGACATGGATTGTGTATGTGTGCCATTCAGAGGGTGAATGGGCAAGAAAAAATATGGAAGTGCCTTTGAACGTGTCACGCTCTGGCTCCGGGACTGTGTATTTTGAGCCAGGGTGTGTTCATTTGGTTGTGTTTGGTATTGGTTGTGTTGTATTTGGTTGTGTTTCCTTGTTTGGTCGTGTGACTCCCAATCAGTGGTAACGAGTGTCAGCTGTCGGCTCGTTATCTCTGATTGGGAGCCATATTTAAACTGTCAGTGTTCACCTTAGTGTTGTGGGTTTTTGTTCCGTATCAGTCATTGTAACTGAGGACTTCACGATTCGTCATTGTTTGTTGTTTTGCACTGAGTACTTTAATTGAATAAAGTCATGTTCGTATCGCACGCTGCGCCTTGGTCCACTCACTTAGTAGACGCTCGTGACAGAAAAACCCACCGTCCCAGGACCAAGCAGCGTGTCCAGGAGCCAAGGGTCTGGACATGGGAGGAGATTTTGGATGGTAAAGGGTCTTGGACTTGGGAGGAAATCCTGGATGGGATGGATCGCCGGCCATGGAGTAAAACAGTGGAGAGGCGACTGAGAGAGGAGCAACGGCGTCAGCAGGGCCATCGTCGGAAGGACGAGAGGCAACCCCAAAAAGTTTTTTGGGGGGGGCACATGGCTTGGGAGCTAATATCTCGAATGCTGTACAGAAACCCAGACCTAAAACCCAAAACAGCTAGTAATGCCAGGTGTAGTTCGAAGCACGGGGTGGCTAGGTAAAACTCCCTAGAAAGGCCAAAACCCTAGGAAGAAACCTAGAGAGGAACCGGAGGCTATGAGGGTGGCCAGTCACCTCTTCTGGCTGTGCCGGGTGGAGATTATTAAAAAAAACAGAACCATGCCAAGATGTTCAAAAATGTTCATAAGTGACAAGCCGTGGTCAAATAATAATCAGGAATAAATCTCAGTTGGCTTTTCATCAGCCGTCATTAAGAGTTGAAAACAGCAGGTCTGGGACAGGTAGGGGGTTCCATAACCGCAGGCAGAACAGTTGAAACTGGAATAGCAGCAAGGCCAGGCGGGACTGGGACAGCAAGGAGTCACCACGGCCGGTAGTCCCGATATGGTCCTAGGGCTCAGGTCTCTCAGTGCTTTTCATAGCCGATCATTAAGAGTTGAAACAGCAGGTCTGGACAGGTAGGGGTTTCGTAACCGCAGGCAGAACGTTGACTGGAATAGCAGCAAGGCCAGGCGGACTGGGGACAGCAAGGTGTCATCATGCCCGGTAGTCCTGACGTATGGTCCTAGGCTCAGGTTCTCAGAGAGAAGAGAGAACGAGAGAATTAGAGAGAGCATACTTAATTCACACAGGACACTGGAATAGAAGGAGAAGTACTCCAGTATAACCAACTAACCCCAGCCCCCCGACACATAAACTACTGCAGCATAAATACTGGAGGCTGAGACAGGAGCGGTCCGGAGACACTGTGGCCCCATCCGAAGAAACCCCCGGACAGGCCAAACAGGAAGGATATAACCCCCACCCACTCTGCCAAAGCACAGCCCCCGCACCACTAGAGGGATATCCTCAACCACCAACTTACAATCCTGAGACAAGGCCGAGTATAGCCCACAGAGGTCTCCACCACAGCACAAACCAAGGGGGGCGCCAACCCAGACAGGAAGATCACGTCAGTAACTCAACCCACTCAAGTGACGCACCCCCCTAGGGACGGCATGAAAGAGCACCAGCAAGCCAGTGACTCAGCCCCTGTAACAGGGTTAGAGGCAGAGAACCCCAGTGGAGAGAGGGGAACCGGCCTGGCAGAGACAGCAAGGGCTGTTCGTTGCTCCGAGCCTTTCCGTTCACCTTCACACTCCTGGGCCAGACTACACTCAATCATATGACCTACTGAAGAGATAAGTCTTCAGTAAAGACTTAAGGTTGAGACCGAGTCTGCGTCTCTCACATGGGTAGGCAGACTGTTCCATAAAAATGGAGATCTATAGGAGAAAGCCTTGCCTCCGCGTGTTTGCTTAGAAATTCTAGGGACAATTAGGAGGCCTGCGTCTTGTGACCGTAGCGTACGTATTGGTATGTACGGCAGGACCAACTCGGAAAGATAGGTAGGAGCAAGCCCATGTAACGCTTTATAGGTTAACAGTAAAAACCTTGAAATCAGCCCTTGCCTTAACAGGAAGCCAGTGTAGGGAAGCTAGACTGGAGTAATATGATCAAATTTCTTGGTTCTAGTCAGGATTCTAGCAGCCGTATTTAGCACTAACTGAAGTTTATTTAGTGCTTTATCCGGGTAGCCGGAAAGTAGAGCATTGCAGTAGTCTAACCTAGAAGTAAACAAATGCATGGATTAATTTTTCTGCATCATTTTTGGACAGAAAATTTCTGATTTTTGCAATGTTACGTAGATGGAAAAAAGCTGTCTTGAAACAGTCTTGATATGTTCGTCAAAAGAGAGATCAGGGTCAAGAGTAACGCCGAGGTCCTTCACAGTTTTATTTGAGACGACTTTACAACCTCCTCACCATCCCTGCAACCAGGCTCCGCTATGGGAGACCGGGTTTAGAGTACAGCTCAATTGGAACTCCTCCTCTTTAGAACCTCACATCCAACATATTCTATCCACAGTAAAGACACCCTCTAACAGGCTACCCAGATTCTCTGTTGTTTGCTTTGTATTCCTTGGTTAGCTGTCCTGTTTGTAGTATACTTTTATGCACTGATGTACAAAAATAAGAGCACACTCTTTCCTGACATAGACTGACCAGTATCCCTTGAAAGCTTTGATCCCTTATTGTTTCGTATATCACTTTAATCAGTGTAGCTGAGAAATGGACATGGATTGAGTGTTCATTAAGAGGTGACAAGAAAAAGGAAGTGCCTTGAACGGGGTATGGTATTTGTTTTTGTATTTATTATGGATCCCCATTAGCTGCTGCCAAGACAGCAGCTACTCTTCCTGGAGTCCAGCAAAATTAAGGCAGTTTATACAATTGTAAAAACATTACAATACATTCACAACACACTGTGTGCCCTCAGGCCCCTACTCCACCACTACCACATATCTACAGTACAAAAATCCATGTGTACGTGTGTGTATAGTGCATATGTTATCATGTGTGTGTATGCATGTGTCTGTGCCTATGTTTGTGTTAGTACGTGCCAGGCGCACCAGTTTGTGTCAAGAACTGCAATGCTGCTGGGTTTTTCACACTCAACAGTTTCCCGTGTGTATCAAGAATGGTCCACCACCCAAAGGACATCCAGCCAACTTGACACAACTGTGGGAAGCATTGGAGTCAACATTCGCTTTCGACACCTTGTAGAGTCTGTGCCCCAACGAATTGAGGCTGTTCTGAGGGCAAAAGGGGGTGAGGGTGCACCTCAATATTAGGAAGGTGTTCCTAATGTTTGGTATACTCTGTGTATACTTACTTATTTTAATATATGATTTTATAGCTTTTTACCCTGCTGATTTTCTTGTGTTTGTAAAGTAACTTTGGGTGTCGTGAAAAGCGCTTAAAATAAAATGTATTATTATTTATTATTATTACACAAATTGCTACAAAGGTACCGGGCTGCAATATTCTCACAGAGTATGTTGAGAATGTCTACCTTTAATTAAACAGAAAAAATATGAACAAGGCACTTTTGGTTATCAAAGCATAATCTACTTCATTATGCAGTTGCTAGCATACTGTCCTTTGACCTCTCATCACCAGCTTCAGACAGTAAGCTTCACTACACTGTGAAGGGGTCAGTACAGTACAACACTCACCCCACAGTAATGTTCTTCATTAAATATCTGTGGAGGCAGGGGGACCCCCGTCATTGGTCTGAAGTCCTCAGGTACATTCTCCCTCATCCACTTCCTGTTGTCTTCACTAGTGACGATGTCACACTCCTTAAAGTCAATCTTGTTGACAGTTAGGAAACCCATGATGTCTTGCTGCTGCTTCTTAATCTACAGGCAGAAAGGGGATGAGATATTTAATTAGGTAATTTAATTATGTTTTGATGTGTAATAAAGGGTGGAGTATGGGGAGATAAGCCTCTATTCACTTTGCAGAGCCTCTGCAGCTGGGCTGCATTCTATAGGAGAGCCTGAGGACTGAGACAGACCCAATAAGGCCTCTGTGCAAGCAGGATCAGCTCAGAAGCCAGGCACAGACCAAATATGGCAGTAGGAGGACAGCCCAGTGTTCCCATGCAACCACTTCTGTTCTGTCTAAACTCTGCGCTGCACATACAGTGCTATGAAAAAGTATTTGCCCCCTTTCTAATTTTCTCTACTTTTGCATATTTGTGATACTGAATGTTATCAGATCTTCAACCAAAACCTAATATTAGATAAAGGGAACATAAGTGAACAAATAACATAACAATTACATATTTATTTCATTTATTTCATAAACAAAGTTATGCAACACCCAATTCCCCTGTGTGAAAAAGTAATTGCCCCCTTACACTCAATAACTGGTTGTGCCACCTTTAGCTGCAATGACTCCAACCAAACGCTTCCTGTAGTTGTTGATCAGTCTCTCACGTCGCTGTGGAGGAATTTTGTCCCACTCTTCCAAAAAGTTGACTCAAGTTTGCCAAAAAGCACCTGGATGATCATCAAGACTCTTGGAAGAACGTTCTATGGACAGATGATTCAAAAGTATAACTTTTTGGACGACATGGTTCCAGTAATGCCTGGCGAAAACCAAACTCTGCATTCCACAGTAAGAACATCATACCAAAGGTCAAGCATGGTGGTGGTGGTGGGATGGTTTGGGGATGCTTTGCTGCCTCAGGAACTGGACGATTTGCCTTAATAGAAGGAACCATGAATTCTGCTCTGTATCAGAGAATTCTACAGGAGAATGTCAGACCATCCGTCTGTGAGCTGAAGCTGAAGCGCAGCTGGGTCATGCAGCAAGACAATGATCCAAAACACACAATCAAGTCTACATGAAAATTGCTAAAAAGCAACAAATTGGAAGTTTTGGAATGGCCTAGTCAAAGTCCAGACCTAATCCCAATTGAGATGTTGTGGCAGGACTTGAAATGAGAAGTTCATGCTTGAAAACCCACACGTCACTGAGTTAAAGCAGTTCTGCATGGAAGAGTGGGCCAAAATTCCTCCACAGCGACGTGAGAGACTGATCAACAACTACAGGAAGCATTTGGTTGGAGTCATTGCAACTAAAGGTGGCACAACCAGTTATTGAGTGTAAGGGGGCAATTACTTTTTCACACAGGGGAATTGGGTGTTGCATAACTTTGTTTATGAAATAAATGAAATAAATATGTAATTGTTGTGTTATTTGTCCACTTATGTTCCCTTTATCTAATATTAGGTTTTGGTTGAAGATCTGATAACATTCAGTATCACAAATATGCAAAAGTAGAGAAAATTAGAAAGGGTGCAAATACTTGTTCATAGCACTGTAGAAGCCTGTCTAGAAAATCCTGTATAGACAACATTTCTGTATTGTCATGGTTTTGACTTGCAAAATCACAGTAAGCAATAATATCCGTCATTTCAGACCAGATAATTCAGAGCTTGGCTGAGGCAGTCGTTCTGTAGCCGTTGTGCTCTTTGACTGATTCTTTAGAGAGTGATGTAATTGTGTGAGGTATGAAGCTCAGATGTCCTAAGACTGATCCTGTCCAGCTGTTCTGGCCCAGAACACCACTGGCAATGGTCCTTTAGGCTAGGCGTGTTGTTTTGCAGTATGTAGGGAAGGAGTGGTGGGGGAGTCAACATCTGATGGGAGAGTCTAGTTAAGCTTGACCCCTCACCCTCACCACAAGGCCATTTGGACGAAAACAGCTGCTTGAAAAAATCTGAGCTGTTTAACCAAGTGCTTTACCTAAACATTCTTGTCTGCACGCTCACTCATAAAAGCACTCTTACACAGAGGGGGTTGAGCAGGAGTAAGAGACTGCTATTCTTACAGACAATAAATATGTGATTATGTATCCTCTTCTGATTTTATACTGTGCTGTAAATGCCTTTTAGATACAACACAATCATCGTTTTTTGTTAATACTATATTAACAATATAAACAAATTAATAGAATAATAGTCATATGACAAATCAATATCTACAAATTGAAGGTCCTCTTTATCAAATCATTGTTTTATGGTAATTACATTAGCCTATGCATTGGCATGCATGAGAAGCCTATAGAATCGAATGTATTTGTGCGGCTGTCAGTCCCAGCTTCTACTCTATTGCTCGGGACATCCCATGCACAACTTGCACAACTTTCAAAAGCAAGTGAATGTCCATGCTCATTCAATACTCGATTAAGCTTAATCCATTTGATATGATAGTATCTGCGTAGCTACAACACAATAGCTCACTTGTATGAGTACGACACACCTAATGCAAATACTTTGAATTCGCTAAGAAAATGAACATAAACGGTCAATAGGCTATAATGCTTACTCAATACTCAAGATTTCTTACCGCTGTCGATCCGGAGGATGACGCTATAAAGACTTTTATCACCATGGCTGTTTGGTTCACTCCCCAAAACCCAAGTGAGCGGTGCACCGACGTCTCCAAATGATCTCTCTCTCTCACACTGTAATAACAGATGGAAATCAGATCTCTAAAAACAATTGGGAACACTTCAAACTATATATCCTAGTGCTTTCTAAATGCATTTTCAAATACATTTGACTATGTTAATATTTTGAACTCCTATTTATATAGTCTATAAATAAGTAATAAATGCTCCTCCCATATTTTTCAAGTGAGAATTTAAATTCAAATAATTGAAATAAAGCTAATAGATGTACTCAGACATAAGGAAAACATAGTAATATGCTTATAACCTACTAACTACACAATGCAATATACTGTCTGAAAAGAGAATAGGGATATGAAAAATCCGGGTGATTATACCCTTTGAACGTCCCGCCTACTTCCTGGTGTAAAACTGTTTTTTGAATGGGCATCATGCTTATATCATCAAATTCATGAAAATAGGGTCATTTAAGATATATGTAACATGATATTCATATTCGTGGATTAATTTACACCCAATTCCTTTTATGAAGCTTTTCGATTTTAGAAAACGCAATCAAAAACCTTCATGAAAGGCATCAGGTCCACGAATTAATCCACGAATATAATTGTACAAATATTTTAAATTACCCCATTTTCATGAAATTGATTATACATTTGAAGCCCGTTCAAAAACAGTACCGAACTTGCAACAGATGTAGACGGGACTTTCATAGGAGTACCACAGTATGAGTCATAATACCCATGAAACCTAGCGGTAAAACCCAGAAATGGTTCCAATCGTTTTTTCGTCGGAGATTTTAGAACTACTTCATATAAGGTCTGTGTTTCATGTAGGCTTTCCCTGACGTGACGTTTTGATAACCGTGCAAATCTCTCTCGGACAAGGTAACTTTTATCAATATATTCGCCTTAAACGAAATGCTAATTAGCCGCTAATGTGGCTATCATACAGAACTACTACACATCTTGTTTCAAGCTTTGACGTCAACCCTCAAGGCACATGCCTTGTTCAAAACAACTGGGAACTCGTAAAAATACGAGGTCAAATCATGACGTCAGTGATCTTCAGTTCGGAAAGTCGGAGCTCTAGAAAGAGGCCAGAGTTCCCGAGTTGGAATTCCGAGTTGAATGACAGTTCAAATCGTTTTTTCACAGTCAGAGCTCGTTTTTTTTCTCCCAAGTTCCCGATTGTTTTGAACACACTGAAGTCGGAAGCCAGATTTCCGAGTCCCAGTTGTTTTGAACAAGGCAACATTTCTCCATGCGAACTCATCGACGAGTAGCAAGTAGCGTAGATATTATAGGCATTTTAGTTTCTCGTGTGGTGTATTCTTGTTTAGCATTTTTCAAATTACCTAACTAGCTACCTTAGCATTTTTGAATTACCCTCTGCCTTTGTAGCGAACTAGCTAACCGTCTCACCGTCGATCAGAAGCAAGGATGGTTCTGTGCTATGTACCTGATTGTAACCTCAAACGTTATCCGATAAGCACACGTGCATTTTATCGTTTTCCGACCTCTGTAATCGAGAGGCGTCGCTGGATCCGTGTGTTAAGGTAAGCCGTGTTTGCTAGCTGCTAAAAAGCTATGTTGGTTAGGTCAAAGATCTGTGGTTAACTAGGAGCTTATGAAAATGTGCTAGATAACCGCCGGTCCTTACAAGTAAAAAGAAAACCAGCATAGGCTAGCATAATGACTGTTGTGTTGTGACCTTATTGACAAGTCTTTTGTGAGCTAGCCAGGTAGTTAATGTTAACTCACAGTTTGTGTAGTCAGACTTGCTAGCTAACGTTAGGCCGGCACAATGGCAAGGATAGTTGGTTAGCTACCATTTCACCACTTACAAAAGTCTGACTACACGAACGGTGAGCTAATGTTAACTAGTTAGCTGGTAGGCTAGCTATCTACATTAGCTAAAGTTGGCTAGCTAGAGCACAAATAACTCGTGGGCTTAATGTTTTCCCCAGTGTGGTGCCAGGAAAATAACCTCTCACTCAACATCAACAAAACAAAGGAGATGATCGTGGACTTCAGAAAACAGCAGAAGGTGCACCTCCCTATCCACATCGACAGGACCGAAGTGGAGAAGGTGGAAAGCTTCAAGTTACTTGGCGTACACATCACTGACAAACTGAAATGGTCCACCCACACAGACATTATGGTAAAGAAGGCGCAACAGAGCCTCTTCAACCTCAGGGGCTGAAGAAATTTGGCTTGGCACCTAAAACCCTCAAACTTTTACAGATGCACAATTGAGAGCATCCTGTCGGGCTGTATCACCGCCTGGTATGGCAACTGCACCGCCCGCAACCGCAGGGCTCTCCAGAGGGTGGTGCGGTCTGCCAAACACATTACCAGGAGCAAACTACCCGCCCTCCAGGACACCTACAGCACCCGATGTCACAGGAAGGGCAAAAAGATCATCAAGGATATCAACCACCCGAGCCACTGCCTGTTCACCCCACTATCATCCAGAAGGTGGCAACACAGGTATTGGTCTGGCCCTGGCCTTTGCAGTTAAAGGCTATCGCTGCATCATCATCATGCCTGAGAAGATGAGCATGGAGAAGGTGAATGTGCTGAGAGCCTTGGGGGCGGAGATCGTGCGTACCCCCACCGCCGCATGCTTTGATTAACCGGAATCCCATGTGGGCGTGGCCTGGCGTCTGAAGAACGAGATTCCCAACTCTCACATCCTGGACCAGTACCGTAACCCTAGCAACCCCCTGGCCCACTACGACACCACTGCAGAGGAGATCCTGGAGCAGTGCGATGGTAAGGTGGACATGTTGGTGGTCCAATACATGGAGGATGGCTCGCCCTGTCTTAGACAGATGGTATTCGGGGTGGTAACGGCCATTAACATGAGGCGGGGAAGCGCACGCTGTCATAGTGCTCACTGACCGACTAGCTGTGACCACTTCCTGTTTCCTGTGGAGAGTAGGAAGTGACCGCCCGCTTGACACCCTCTGAGTAACGACAATGAAGAAGATGATGAAGATGTCGACTTTTAGGAGTGGCGGGGGTTGTGGTTTAGTCTTAAAAGAAGTGTATAGTAATTTCCTCCCTTTTTGGCTACATCGGTTTTGTTATTTGTCTGTGATGACAATAATTATTCACTGTAGCCTATACTGCGATTGAAGCAACTTAGCTGGTTTCAGATACATAGTTTTCCGCTAACTTTAAGGTATAGAAATTCAATGTAACAAACAGTGTGCAACTAGAGACACTTCCATCTGTCTTGCCTCTTCATTATTGAAAGTAACTTTTACTTTAAGATCTACATATAAATAGTGTTCCTCTGACTATTTTATTGCCGATATCAATATCGTCGATAGACTAATAACTCAGTAAATTTGAATCTTTCAGCTAAATAGTCATCATATAGCTACCATTTTGTATTGCATTAAGGTTTGTATGTAACTGATATGCAAATGTAACATTCATCTTTAAGACTTTAAAGCACATCATAGATTCTTAATTACTTATTTGATACCAACAAAGTTACATCGCCATGTAGTGGCAGCTAAAGACATGGCATGTACCAAAAAATTTGGGTTGTTCAATCTGAAACGGATACCAAGACAACATTCAAAGAGATAGGATGTCAGTGAAGGGTACCTGTCTTTTGTTTGAAGGGGTTGGAAAAAGTAAGCAAGGTTGCAGGGTAGGTCAGGTTAAGGATAGGTGAGTTTGGCACACAATCAAACTGCAACCCAAACAGTATGACTTGTGTTGGGTAATTTTTTTCTTGTATTGAATAAGGCTGTATTGAATAGTTTGTTGGTTGAGAGTATATAAAGCAGAGAGTCCCCTCACAGTGCAGGTGTTTTATACAGGCCTGTCTGTCTGGGGCAGTTTGTTTAAGCCAAGGGTTGGGTTGTTTGAACTTTTTACAAATGTTCTGTACTTTATGTACAATCATTAATGTGTAATGTTATGTATGAACATGGACCCAGAGCTGTTATGATCTATTCACTTTAGCAGGGATGTATTTGTATGTAAATATGTCTTTAGTGTTCTTAAGTATGAAAAATTTATGCACTCACTAACTGTAAGTCGCTCTGGATAAGAGCGTCTGCTAAATGACTAAAATGTAAGGTGAGGTCAGTACAGGTGCATCAAAGCTGGGACTGAGAGAATGATAAACAGCTTATATCTCAAGGCCATCAGACTGTTAAATAGCCACCACTAGCACATTAGAGGCTGCTGCTGCCTATTGAAATCACTGGCCACTTTAAGAAATTGAACACTAGTCACTTTTAATAATGTTTACATATCTTGCACTACTTAAATTCCATTCCTTACTTAGATTTGTATGTATTGGGTATATGTTGTGAAATTGTTAGATATTACTTGTTAGATATTACTGCACTGTCGGAGCTAGAAGCACAAGCATTTCGCTACACCCGCAATAACATCTGCTAAACACGTGTATGTGACAAATAAAATTTGATTTGATTTGAGTGCATCTGTTGTACATGCATCTGTTGGACTAATCAAATGACCTGTGAAGTCAGTTGGAAATGTCAGCAAGGATGGAAATTAAGCTAGTACTTTTCAGACTGGGCTAGTAGACAATGTGCCAAACTAGCCTGACACAGCAGTGAAATGGCTAGTAGAAAATGTGCCAAACTAGCCTGACACAGCAGTGAAATGGCTAGTAGAAAATGTGCCAAACTAGCCTGACACAGCAGTGAAATTGTGCCTTTACAAACATAGCATGCCACAGATTTAGGACCTGAATGTTTCCCAGGCTAGTAGAAATCATGGTCTGCTGGCCCGTGCCCAAAATCCTTATGTTCCATCCCTGCACGTCAGTACCTTTCAGATGATCCTCCTACCACTGTTGGTCCTACTTAGTGACCTCATGGCTGAGGGTTTTAACTTTCCTCTTGAGAATTAGAATCATGAGTACAGCTGTATAGCTCATCACAATACTTCACCTCTTCGGGCAAATATGACCCTAGACTGATCCT